TTGTCTTAATGGCAATAATAGTATAGTAGGTCGTTAAGAATAATAAATTTGGGATCATCATTCTTATTTTGAGTATTTCTAATAATTGCTGAAAAGATGCAAYGGCGGATTCCAAACTTGCCACCGAAAGCTTCAATTTTTTATATTTAAATTTCAGTATAAAAACCTTATGACCTAAAGTTTTTTAAATAAAAACATTCTTTTTAAATCACACTTATTAATACAAATCCGAAAGATCAAGATAATTTGTAATTGAGTCATTTTTGGATCCAAAAACGTACGTATGACCGTTATTTTTTGTAAAAATTATGGAATAATTTTATTAAAACTGCAAATATTTTATTTTGGCAAAAATGCTCGAACAGGTCTATTTTTTTTAAATACACAATTTTCAACTTGGTTAAAAAAATACACTTTTTGGGTTTTGAGTAAAGACAGCCACATTTTTTTAAGATAAATTATTAAATTTTAAGATAACACAAGTTTTATGTTTTAAAAATCGAGGTCGTGGGTTGTATAAAACTCTCGTTGTCTTAATAGCAATAATAGTATAGTAGGTCGTTAAGAATAATAAATTTTGGATTATAATTCTTATTTAGAGTATTTTTAATAAATGCTGAAAAGATGGTGTTTGCGAGGACGCTTTCAGCGCTTGAAATCCCGATTTGAAAGCATAAATGTCCCGACCTTAGCAATGAATAAGTGGTTGACATAGTCGGGATTATATTGCTCATCTTTGACACCAAGTTTCATAACTGTTGACATTTTCAGTTGCGTATGGCGGCATTGAATGAGGCATACACCGGAGACGTTCACGGCGTTCGCGGTGCAGATTATTCCTGTTATCGCGAAGCTCGACGTGCGGGCTTGCGAGGCACTTTCCGAGCTTTTCTATCATCTCGCGTTCAAAACGTCGACTCCATTGTGCGCCTAGCGGATCGCAAACTGCCTGTATCTAATCTCCGAGGTGAAGTACTTTTCAACTCTTGGTCTGAGATGTTCAAAGGGGACGGCGCGCCATTCCCGCATCCGCCACGCATTTACTCTTTTAATGGCAAGAACGTATTAACTGATCTTTCTTGGCCCCACAAAGCCGTGTGGCATGGGGCGTTAGTGAATGGCGAAAGGGCTTTGGACACGTCATGTGACGCCTGGCATTCGGCATCCAGAGACAAAGTGGGACTCGCTGGATCGCTCAAAGGACCCACACTCTTAGAGCAAACACCATACACTTGCGACAAGAAACTCATCCTACTTTGTATTGAGGCCACCAGCGAATTGTTCGTCCAAAGGAAACGGAGGGATTTAGATAACAGGTGGGGAGACTAGTGGAATTAACCCATCTCTAATTTCTATTAAATGATAACATCGAAAAACATTGACTAGAAACGTTGACTATGTTTCTAGTGCAAAATGCTTGCAAACAAGTTAAGTTTTATTGTATTTTTTAGTCCATGAAAACTACAATATTATTAAAAAAATTAGAACGTCCTTCATAATAGACCAGAATTTGATTTTTCAGAAAGATAAGTTAGTAAAAAAATTAAAACGTCGTTCATAATAGACCATTGTTTGATTTTTCAGAAATATTTCTATACAAGGTGCGCCAGAACTCGCGCCCCAGAGAAAAATGCCATATAAGGTAAGACACTAGGAGCATGGAAAAAAGTTATGAGGGTTTAAATTTTGCAATTTGACTATTTATTTCTGTTGGAAAAATACTTTTCAATTTTTTTTGCTATAGGCTATGAAAAGAGGAAACAAGGAAGCTGTATCATAAAGTGTAACTCTGTTCAATGTTATTTGTGGCTTTTATTGGCAAAATTTTTGTACCTTTACTAAATAATTGTAAAAAAAAACATACAGGGTGTTTCACGTAATTTTACAAGGTCTGCGCCTGTAAGATGCAATCAATAATACATATTCCGATACGAACAACTAGATTACAAATTTTGAAAAATTGGATAATCTTCTCTAGTTTGTTTACCCATTTCAAAAATTACAACGTTTTTAGTTAATTAGTGATTAAGATAGATAAACTAGAATCATATTCATGTGTTTTGTGACTTTTGTACGTACATTAGGCGCAAGCCTCGTAAAGTTGTGTGAAAGACCCTGTATACAAGATCATCAGTAGGTATCATTAAATAGACATAAAAAATGGAAAATGGCAAAAAATAAACATTTTTTCATGTTCCTGGTATCTTACTTTAGATGAATTTTTTTCTGGAGCGCGAGTTCTGACGCATCCAGTATATTATATGTATGAATTGCTATTACTGGTTTCAGATTTTTTTCATTTTTAACTTTTAATTAAAAACATATTTATTTGTGGTGGATTTTTGTCCCGTTTTTACGTTTTTTACAAAACTTGCTCCCCAGAGAAAAATGACAAGTAAGTTAAGATACCAGGAAGGTGAAAAAAATGTAAAAAAACCTATCTTTAAAAATTTCGAATTTTTTTAAATTTTTTTGACTTTATTTATTTCTTTTGGAAAAGAAAATTTTACATGTTTTTTTGCTGCAGGCTATTAGAAGAAGAAACAAAAAAGCTGTAACCTGAATTGTAACTACGTTTAACAATTTTTTTTTTGTAACTTTACTGAATAATTATGAAAATACATATACAAGATCATCAGTAACAATAAATAGACCTAAAACTAGTTTTGGAACAAAAAATCATATTTTTCTAGAATCATGAAAAAATTTGAATTTTTCACATTAAGATTAATATGCGAAATTGGTCATTTGTTGTTAAGTAAACAAGACAATATTTCTTGTAAGATAGAAAATTAATCGAAAATCGATTAAAATTTTGCCAAGAATCGAAAAATAGGAGTACAAAAGAGCAAAAAAGGTGTTAAAATGTTGTAGATAGGCAAGAAATAATTTTTTGAAAAATTTTGTGTATGTATGAATATATTGGATTAGAGCAGAGAAAATGTCGGCGGCGTGGTGGTGTAGCGGCTTTCCGGCAGGTAGGTCCGGGGTTTGAACCCCGGTAAAATCAGCAATTTTTCTTTAATTCAAATTCAAATACAATTCAAATGTCAAAAGATGGCGCATAAGAGCGTGAGCTTTAAAACATGTGCCCGTTAAGAGAAAGAAAGAGAGCGCATAAGAACAAATAAGAAAGCAAAGCATCAGAAAGAGAAAGAGTATAAGAGCTTTTTTATCGTTACCCCGAATTTTTTTATTTTTCTAAGAAAAAAGGTCAAATGTCAAAAAATAAATGTCAAGAATTTTTTAAACATTTTTTCCATGTTCCTTGTAACTTACTTGACACTTATCTTTGGGGCGCGAGTTATGAAACACCCTGTATACAGAGGGTTCAATCATATTTATCAAGTCCACCATAAAATTCAAATTCAATGTGTAGAAAGAAATTCCAAATAAAATTAAAAAATACCCAAAAAAATATCACAGCCTAAAAATTTTTTCTTATTTTTGAATTTTATTGATGTTTTCTACAATAACTTATCTGAGGAATAAAAAGTTATATAAAGAAAATTTACTCAACTTTACCTACTATTTTCTCAACTTTACAGACGTTATCAGAAAAAAAAAACAATTTTATATACAGGGTGTGCCAGAATTTGCGCCCCAGAGAAAAATTTCAAGTAAGATAAGGTGGAAACATGGAAAAAATGTTTAAAAAATTCTGTGTCAAAAATATTGACATTTATTTTTTGACATTTGATATTTTTTTGTCTATTTAATCGTACTGAAGGTCTTGTATATGTTTTTTCACAATTATTTTGTAAACGTATAAAAAATTTGCCAATAAAAGCGACAAATAACATTGAACACAGTTACAATTTAGGATACAGCTTCTTTGTTTCCTCTTTTAATAGCCTATAGCAAAAAAACTTGGAAAATTACTTTTACAACAGAAATAAGTAGAGTCAAATTGCAAAATTTAAACCCTCATAACTTCAATATTTTTATAGATAATTTTTTTTAACATTTTTTACATGCTCCCAGTATCTAGTATTATGTCGCATTTTTCTCCGAGGCGCGAGTTCTGGCGCACCCCTGTATAGAAATATTTCTGCAAAATCAAACAATGGTCCATTATGAACGACGTTTTAATTTTTTTACTAACTTTTCAAAATTTAAACTTTCATAACTTTGAAATTTTTATAGATACAATTTTTTTACAATTTCTCCATGTTCCATGGCATTTTAAAAATAAAAAAAAATATTAAAAATAATTGATAATAAAATATAAAAATATAAGATCGCAATGTGCCCTCTTTATCGCTTATTGGGGGATCATTAAAAAACAAATCGGAATCCTGCGCCAATTATAACAGTAATTTTGTTTCAGTAACGACGAAATATTGAACGAGGACGATTATCACACTCTAATAAGTCTCATCAATTGAAGAAAAACTTTGTGATTGGTCAACGACCGTTCCATCCATAGTCAGACATCGATAATTCCGTGTCATCTCTAGTACACAAGTCCAACATTTTAAATTTAAGGTTAAACACATAATTATCTATAAGATACGAAACCTACGTAATAATACAAAATTTAATGTAACCAAATAGTTGTATTCCGTTGTTATAAATTTAGCTTTTTTTTCTTCACCGTCATAACGTCTATAGAGAATTTATATAGTTTTATAATCATTTCATTGTTTAAAATAAACACAAGGAAATTAAAAGGAAACAACGTTAAATAAATTCCTTTTAAGTTCCGAAACTCGTAAATGTACTTATCGTTTTCTCGCGTTTTTTAGCTTTCTCTAAGTGTATAAATATTGTTTTTATATCTGACTACATATCAGATTTAAATTAAGTTACGATGACAATGTATGTATGTTAAAGTTATGTTCAATGGACTGATTGTAAATACTTGTGAGTTGCAAAATGTTTTGGTGTAAATGTTACAAATAGTATTGAATGCCATGTATTTGTAATAAATTATTTATAAATGTCCTACATATCAAAATTGGTTTTTTTTTTCAAAATACTTGCATCCTAATTTGCATTCATTTTTTCTTTCAACAAACAAGGCCAGACTTATTTCCTGAACATTCATTTGTGTGGGAGATACGAAAAAATCCGGTGAGGCGTTCAAAGAAGGGTCATCTGACCCTTTATTATGAAAATGCTAAGTAGGCTCCAACATATGTTTATTTGCCAGTTATATTTCACGGGTATAAAACAGCATTCATGCATCTTTGATTACGGATGAGATAATGCATGCTAATTTAAAATGTAGTTCGGTTCAGGAAACAATAATAATTTAAACACGCTGCGAATAATCTTTTAGCTTTTTGGATATTTTATTTCGAAAAGAATAGACTCCAAGTTAAGTAAAAACACAAAATATGTATATTTTCTCCACTCAGACCATATCACAGTTTCTAAAAGTTATAAAATATACGTTGCCAATAATTAATTATACTACATATATTTGAACAAAATCTGAAAAATCAACACGAAACCAAGGTTTGAATTGTCTTTATAATCCATTTTATTAAAATTGGCATAACAGTAGGCCATGATTGTGTAAACCGCGCTTTAAATGTGAAAAAGGCTTTACATATTAAGGAACTAAAGTCACTAAAAAAGTGGGGTTAAAATAGTTAAAATTTTATTTTTAAAGAACCCTCTTTCAGAGGTTTTCAGAGAGAGTTTTCTGAAGAGAAACTTTCAATTATAATTTGAAAAAATACTGGGAATAAAGAACAAGCAACAAAAACTGAAAAAACAAAAACAAACAACTACCAGGTGAATAAAAAGTATGGAACCAAACGTTTTTTGCTTAAATTATTTATTTTTTGAAAAAACTAATTGATGAGTGATAAAGTACTATAAAAATTTTTCAAAATTTTCAAAAAAATTTTTAAATTTGCAATTTTGACAAAAAAATCACATAACTCAAAAACTAAACAAAACCTCGTCCTGAAAATACGATCACATTTTTTATATTACTTTAATTTACATTAATTATTATTTTCTGGGGGCAAATGATTAAAAATAATACCGCTTGGTTCCATATTCACCCTGTATGTAGGTAAGTAATCAAAAAAAAAAAACAAAAACCCCATATACTGTTATACCAGACATGCGCAGGACTACAAACTTAAATATGAAATTCCCTAACCCAACCATTATGCCAATTTCAATGAAATCTACTATATTTTCAATTTTCTTTATTGACTGTATTTTTTGTCAACTTATTCACATTCAAATAACAAACATACTTTTACTAGATTTGTTTGTTTAAAAAAGACGGAAAATCACCACCCAAACGTTTATTTTATTTTTGCTATAATTTGATGCTCCCTCATTTTTTTATATTTTAGTCTATATACCAAAAGCTACTAGAAATAAAGTGAGAATTGGATTACCTACTCCTATCTTATCACGTAATAGTGAAATGCAAACGACTATGATTTTAATTTAACGATAAGAGAAAATGAGGAGCTTAATCAAGTGGTGCTAAAGTCTTTCAATCTATTGGTTCTCGGTAGATTGTGTTTTAAAATAATCTTTCGTAAATCCAGTTCGTCAAATGCACTTGTAGAAATCACATGTTATATAGATTACGTTATGTAAAAAATTAAGAAATAATGCATTAATATCATAACTTTGCTGTTGTATCTACTAATATTTGTGGTTTAAAATGAAACCACTACAAAAGGGATTGTTTTCTTACAGATAATTGAATTAAAATTTTTCTTTTTAAAATACACATGTATTATAAAGCATTAGAACTAATTTAATAAATACTTACTATTGCACTCAAAAATCACAAATTCACACACTTCACTTTGCAATAAACAGAAAAAATAATATTAAAATGCACTAACCTTGTATGGCATCTTTCTTCTGCTACCATTTGTAGCGATTCCCCTCATCTTCAAAGAACGGACCTACTGAAATAAAAAAACAAAATCAGTACGCTAGAGGTATTTACAAAATTTGTTGAAAACGTTAAAAAAATTTAATGTGATTTTTTTTTTAAATTGTTGACTTACCCTTTAATCCAGTTCCTTGTAGCACGATTGTCTTATCCATTAGCATTCACTAATCACTCGAAATTTTAAAAATGGCGCACCACTAAAAGTCTATTAAGCACTCGAAAATACGCAACACACACTCACTGTGTGTACAATACAATTTCGCACCAAATAAATAATAATTCATTCGGACAATTATTACAATTCAAGTAATTCGTACGGGAGCTTGGCTAAAACTGACTCGTTATCATAATAATTCCCCAAAAACGACAGGAGGCAGAAAAACCCATTTTGTGTTTTGGACTACGTAATCCCGCCATTTGGAACGTCACAAAGTAATTTGAATATTACCCAATTCCACATTCAGCATTTTTTGCGCCCTTTAGATTTATTTACACAACAAACTGATTTTTAGTCGTACGATTGAATAACCCTCCGATTTGCCTGACATGACGTCATGATGCTTGCGTCTGATTGGCTACAGGATAGCATCTTGATACGAACTTTTACTGACTATTTTCTCACAAAATTTAATTAAGTCTAATTTTAAATATTTAATATCAACAATTTGGCATGCACTCGAGATATTAACTATTGAGTATAGATTTTAACTATTTTTACTAATGATCCTCTCAATAACTCGCAGACCGATGCTCTTTTTTATACAGGGTGTCCAAGCGAGTTAAAAAGTCTATTAGTAACTTTCAAACGGTAAAATTTATGTAAAAAAGATAAATAAATAAATAATAAATAATAAATAATAAATAATAAATAATAAATAATAAATAATAAATAATAAATAATAAATAATAAATAATAAATAATAAATAATA